CTTGGAAACTGTTACCATTGTTACTCAACAATGACCCTTAGCAATCCATAACCTTGGAAACTGTTACCATTGTTACTCAACAATTTGTTGCAAAATTAATCTGCTTTACTTATGTTTGTTTCACTAGCATCACTTAGTCCCAGTTTTTCCTCTTCCTGTAGGTCAGGATCTCTAGTTTCCTCCTCTGGCCCTTGTTGTTAGCCTACTTTATCAGGAGCACCAACAATGTAGTCTTTGTCAGCTATTGTTTTTTGATGTAATTTCTAGACAAGTAAATTCTCTCACCTCCTTTACTAGCTTCAGCTTTTGCTTAGCACTCCCACTTAAATAATGTCAATTACTAGAGTCCATACTGGGAGTTTTATTAAAAGATATTAATAACAGTCAGATGTAGGCACAGAAGAACCTAGCACAGCTTTTGATATTGTATTCAGCCAACAATATGTTGAATAAGAACATTTATTCAAGGGTATTCATTTATTTAAAAAGAATTTTGTGATAACATTGTTGCAGGATTTTTCCCGGGCCTCTAAGTGGTCAGGGTCCTTGCTGTGCATTAATACAACAATGTCTGGGATATACAATTTGACAATTATTGTTGCAAAATGTGCTTTTCTAAGATGTGTGACATATTAGTTATTGAGTTGACTATGAAATGGGTTGCAACTGCCTTCTAGAAACACTTGTAGAAATATATTGGCAACTTTTCAATCTACTTACACATCTGAAACGTAGAGGATGACTTTTCAAAAGTGCAAAATGTGATTTTATAAGATATGTAGTGTGACCGTTATTGTCGTGAAGTCTGCTTTTCTAGGATTTTGTGACATGATGTAGTGGTACTAACCAAACATGAATTGAAAAATACTACATGGACATAATGTAATCAAACTTATTCTAGCAGTGCCACTTGTATTAAAAAGTGTAACAAACAGGGAAATTCCAACAACTAACCCGTGAGATTGAAATGTATCATTAAAATAACCGATTGTGTGTGGAATACTGAGTCTTTAGCAACTAACCTTGTTGTGACAAAGCAGTGCTGTCTGACGTGGTTCCAAACTTCAAGATGAAGCAGCAATGTAATCTAAGAAAAACATCCACTGTTATAATTATGTGTCTTGTAATCTTGTCTCTCCTCAATAAAAAAGTTGTCAATTTTTGATATTAACAGTATTTGTTACTAGTTAGTATGTTAAATATTGAATAAGTTAGAAATCCAGATTTGAAAAGAATAATATTTGGAAGTTTTCAACACAGTAAAAATCTCTTATAATAACAGTTTTATCTAGATTCTCAGACATATCAAAAGTACTGATCTAAAACCTTTTTTCTAGGTTGCAGGATACAACACAATTAGTGAAGCCTTTCGAAGATTAGATTTCAGAAATGCTGTTAAGGATATCCGGAGATTTAATTATATCTGTAAGGTAGGTCGCAGTATTTTATTGTCCAATTCAGTAACTTTGTTGTGAATAAATTTAATGTTATTTCTACTTCTATGTTTGCAGATCATGCTCTGTTGTAGAATCCAAGTATTAACTGTATATTAAATATTGTTAGAGTTGTGAGCAATTGTTATTACATCAGCTGAGAGATGTACATTGTAGGAATTTGATGGTAAGAAAATATTGACCAGGCTAACTTAACATGAAGTGCAAGATTCCCCAAGATCTTCCAGTATGGACGAAACTTAAGGGAGAATTAATACAGTCAAATAGAGTAGTCCACTTGAATTCCAATACCAAGTGCTGTTGGTTCCTCACAACAATTTATGATGTCACAAACCAGATGTATGTGTTGTAACATAAAACAAGCTTTAACCAGCAACACTTCGAAACAAAACAAAGTTACCAGGCTATAATATGGGATATAAGATGTGTCCTGATTTTGGGGGGTGATTGTGGAAGTAGAACCCTTTTAGCAGTGGGGATATACTGTCTGTCAGTCTTAGCCTCTGTTTGCAAAGCCTCATATGTAAAGATAAAAATAATAAGAGTAAAATAAGAACAAAAATCAAATATGAGTATTCAAGTCCCCAACATCCCACATCTGTATCATCCTTCACTGCCTGCAGACAGGCAGTGGGAAGATGGGAAGGTGGCTGCTTTCAGAACAAAAGAAGTGAAAAATAATTAAGAGAAAGAAAATATCCTACTATTGGGGGTGGTGAGTCAGAAAACCTTACCTCCTGAAGTTGGCATTCCAGCCCCCATTATGGTAGTAAACGGTTAAATTAATAAGGTGGCATTAGCAGTACAGCCACCATTTTATTAAATGAAGTACTTTATTTCATTTGACACAATTAAAAACATAGGTCGGAGTAATAACCATACTTTTTGGATAATAAATTAATCATCTTATTTTAGAACAAGTATAAAGGAAAAAAATGTTATTGTTAAATAAAAAAAGCCGTGTAAGGCTGGCAACTGAATTTGAAAAACAGAATCAAAAAAAGTTAGGATAGAAGTGGACATATCACTTGATTGGCTAATGATGACATAGCAGACTAAGCTGTCTTGAATATACGTGGAGAATAATATCCCTACGTTACTGACTTACCCACTTTGTCTATGGAAAGCTTGTTTTTTGAATAGAGTCTCAGCTTTCATTATATCTTTCATTTAGTTAACTGTAGATTACTACCTCTATTTTACAGTAGTGTAACATTTTATGATTGACAATTCTGGTTCTATTTGTTTTGCCAGTGAGGAAGCCAAGTAATATAGGGATTTTTATTTTCCATGTAAAGTTGAGACTTATACTTGTTTATTTACCTTTTTTTTATAAGATGGTGTATGTGGGTTACTAGGTTATAGAGTTTATTCTAAAGTTTTATCAATTTTGCATAGAGTAATAATAAAATAGGTAGTTAAAGATTGCAAAGACTGTTTTCCTCTATCAAATGATGATAACATTATAGTTACTGCTAGAACTAGGCCTGTTGAAGAGAGATGATGATGAACAAAAATAATAAATCTCAGGTTTGACTATTTGTCGGTTTTGGACTTTAAGATAACTGAAAAGCAGCATATACACTGGAGATAGAGCAACTACACCAGGTAGCTTTTCATATCTATTTCATGATGACCTGTAGAGAAGAAAATCCAGATTACTTTTGTATTGCTTTAATATGAGCGTCTGTGTCATCTCTACATAGAGAGTGCTAGCACATTCAAATATTTAAATAAGTGTTCAAACATTTGATTTTACTACTCTTTACACAGCAATTCCTTCGAAAAATTTAATCATGAATTTGTTAATAGAACAGTATTTTAATTCATCCGTATTGCTTGAAGAAAGAAGTTTGACTTCTAAAAATATAAAGGGTATACCAAGTTTTTGTATTTATAATATTTAATTTCTTTCGATAACTGGGTATTAAAACATGCTGTAGGAGTTCTAATGGGAGCTAATTATTCAACTTGTACAGCTAATTTATATCTATACTGGTATGAAAATAAGTTTATTTAAAGCTATAAATCTGGATGTTTTTGCTTTAACTTGGATATATTGATGATTTAATTAGTATGGATAATTAATTTTAGTAACACTGTGTATCCAATAGAATTAGAAATTAGAAACACATTATTTAGATCTGGAAATTAAAATTAATAATGATATTAATATAGATATGTTTGATAAAAGTAAGAATATTTCATTTCTACTATATGGCTTCCCCTGTCTTAACAGTAATGTTCCATATTACTTCTGTTTGTAAATGTTATAAATTCACACACACACAGATATATAACAGTAATGTTCCATATTACTTCTGTTTGTAAATGTTATAAATTCACACACACACAGATATATAACAGTAATGTTCCATATTACTTCTGTTTATAAATTCACACACACACAGATGTATAACAGTAATGTTCCATATTACTTCTGTTTATAAATGTTATAAATTCACACACACACAGATATATAACGGTAATGTTCCATATTACTTCTGTTTATAAATTCACACACACACACAGATGTATAACAGTAATGTTCCATATTACTTCTGTTTATAAATTCACACACAGATGTATAACAGTAATGTTCCATATTACTTCTGTTTATAAATGTTATAAATTCACACACACAGATGTATAACAGTAATATTCCATATTACTTCTGTTTATAAATGTTATAAATTCACACATATATACACACAGATATATAACAGTAATGTTCCATATTACTTCTGTTTGTAAATGTTATAAATTCACACACACACAGATATATAACAGTAATGTTCCATATTACTTCTGTTTGTAAATGTTATAAATTCACACACACAGATGTATAACAGTAATATTCCATATTACTTCTGTTTATAAATGTTATAAATTCACACACACACACACAGATGTATAACAGTAATGTTTCATATTACTTCTGTTTATAAATGTTATAAATTCACACACACAGATGTATAACAGTAATGTTCCATATTACTTCTGTTTATAAATGTTATAAATTCACACACACACAGATATATCTATGTATGTATTCTATTTTTTACTCATCTAAAACAAGTGTTAGTCATCAGAAAGTCTTGCAAAGCTTCATTTTCTTAAAATGATTGGAGATTAGTAATAACATTCAAAGAATACTTGGCAAAAATTCATGATTCATCAATATTTTTTTCAAGTTAATTTCTAATTGTTATTTCCTGTAAGAGCCTACTAATTCACATTAATA